TTATGTTTATTTTGTTTAAATTTTTGATGGGGGGGGGGGGAGATTAAAAAAAAAAAAAAACTTTGCCCGACCTACCGACCCTATGCTGAAATTTCTTGTTACCGGAAACACACTATCTTTTTTGTTTGGACTAATAATCCTTCACGGTTAAACGATTAAAGAAGTAACACAGGGGGTCAAATGTCTTTGTTGAGGCCGGCGAACGGAAAACACCCAGGGAGGCGTGATAGCGACGTTGGACCAAAGAAGAATTTCTGGATTGCTCTGAGTTCAAAGTGCCAAAGGCCCGTGTGGCAGATCGCTGTCAGGAAGCTTTTCTCGCAGTGGGTTTGTACACATCCACGCTGGATGACTCATGTGCTGATAATCTTCCACACGCCCTGTCAAGTGTGCTGCTGGGGGAGAACCCAAAGTGTCCAAACATGCCACAGCAATACCAGCCACATGCTAGCTACCAAAAAATAAGAATAAAATACAGTCGTGCCTTGATTTACAAATTCCATTCATGCATTCTTTGATCACGCTCTGGACTCAAAACATTCCTGAAATCATATTTACCAACTGAAACGCAGAGGACAAAAAAACAATAAAAGCCTGTGAGTATGGTTATATTATCTGTCTACATGTGTTGCTGCATAGTTTGTGTTCAAATGTCCATTGCTGAAAGAGTTATAAATACAGCAACATTGATGATGTTTCAAATTGCGTGTTAGCTAGTGGACTTCCGTGTAAGGCAAATGTATGTGATTGTTTTAAAGGCATAATATGTAAATTCTCACTGTGTTATGTTATGTTTGAGAGTAAACTTCTAATAAATAAACAAACAGCTTGAAGCCTCTTTTCTGAAGAACTTTTCATCTAAGCGACTGCTCATATGTCGAAAAACTCATATGCCGGGTTCACCAAATGGCAATAACTGTACAAATACCTATTACTACTTTCCTACATGCATTATACTACATTTTCTGACTCAGTGACAGATTCTCCAGATTTTTCAACACATATCTCAATCAAACAACTTACTGTCCCTTCTGTTGAGCAGATAGCCATTAACATTTGATCATCTTTTTTTCTTCTTTCTACCCCCCAAATTTGCTGCTCTAGACTGTAAATTTCCCCAGTGTGGGACAAGGATATCTTATCTGTCAATTTCCACAACTCCGAATAAAAAAAATCAGTCTTCTTTCTCTCTGTCGTCTTGAGACGTTTACCAACCAGCTTTTGCCATGTACAACCCCAAAAGGAGCCTTATTTGTCTGTTGGGCCTTGAATCTTCCATCAAGCTGCTGCTTGCTACGAAGCCGGCTTACTATCGGGTGGTGGCCAACGCAAGCTACTCTTCCGCTAACATGATGTTACCAACGTGACATTGTAATTACAGAGCTTACTACTATTCGCAGCTCACTATTCACAAATTCACCTAATCACAAGATGGCGCCAAAGCTCTGAAGGAAAGTAGTAACTTATGTCGAGGAAGTACTATTCGAGCGGGATCGGGACAGAGCCCTGGCCAAAATAGTGGAGAAAAAAAACAGTTATTGACGTGAGTCCCCACGCGAATGTTTTGAATCGTCTCTCAGTCAGTCTGTGTCACTTTAACGTCATTCCCTGGCACCAAGGCAGATCTTTTGCCATGATCTTGTGGCATTTTAGGGTGCTTCATGAGCACAAAACAGTTAAGATTATTCACTCAATGTTCAGTGAATAATGCAGAATAGGTTTCCATTAACTAGAGATGGGTATATACCGATACCAGTAGTGGGCCGATACCGGCCTTATTTTTAAGTATCGGTTATTGTGGAGGCTGCCGATCCCAGTCACCAATACTTAAGGCAAAGAACATGTGACATTGAATAAGTCCTCCGAGCCAATACTGGCACTACACTTCGACAGTTTGACACATCTGCAAATTATCATCTGCGTTCACGATGCTTTGTCATTCTGTTAAACTACAATTTGTTGATCAAGCATATTTCTTTGTATGTTGGGGAGGGGTCAAGCCATTTAGTTTAATGTGTAGTGTTGTAAGATGAGTATAACATGATATTAAAGTATGTGGGGATCATGGTATGAGGTACATTTATTGCTTAAACTAGTAATACAGCTTATTACAAACATTTTGGGAGAGGCGGCTACTATTCGCAGAGGGTCAACTGTATTCATCATCATCATCATCATAGCAGAGAACCTGTGCAGCAGCTAGCTGCTTACATCCAGCCGACTGTCAACATAGAGTCGCAGCACAAGTCAAAACATGCCTTGGTAGGCCAAAGGGAGCCATAGTATGTGTACTCCCCCACCATGGTAACGCTAGAATGATTGTGTAACAGCACAAGCGGTGAACTTGAAATGTAAATTGACGACATCATCATCCTGTGCACGCGCGCGTGTGTGTGTGCGCGCGTGTGTCTCGCAGAGGAAGCACCTTTATTTTATTTTTCCGATGTCCATTTTTTCCAAGTTGTACACACTAACATTCCGCATTACTTTTTTAAAAAAAACATAACAATAGAGAATATTCGTGTAAAAATACACGAAGGCGAGGCTAACCGTTCTTTGACGTACTGGAGCCATCAATCACAACCAATGAGTCATACGTCACGACGACAAAAATACGAACACCTGTAGTCGCCATTCTATATACCTATCTTCTTTTTTTTTTAACTAAAATTAATAACTCCTTCCCGTTTATTTCAAGTTCAGACGTTTATTTTTTTCCACTCCGAGAAATCACGATTCACAATTTACAATGTGAAGACAATAGAGACGCGAGTAGAGAACCTAGCCACAATGCTAGCTGCAAATGTTATTTAGCATGTCAACAGCGGGGGGGCTAGCTTCCGAACCCACACTCTTTGCATAACACAAAGTCAACCAGGCATGCTGACTAGGGTCTTCTTGCCGTTTTTTCTTTTGCACCGTGCAAAGCTTTCCACCTGGCGTGCTTTCATTTGTGAAAAGGTGGCTAGCTTACAAAAACGACTTCCGCACACACATACATATATATGCATTCCTAAGGGAGAAAGTAGCATGAGTGAGTGTTGTGGGGGGGTTAAAAAAAAAAACCAAAACACACATACCTCCTTTGGACAGAGACATTTCCCCTATGCTTTGATGAGGGGGAAGGGAAGCACAAAGACTTTCTGCCTTTTTCTACTCCCTCCCTCCCCGCATCGAACCCGTACACCCGCTCAGGATCGCAGGCTGCCCGTGCAGAGAAAGGGGGAAAAAAACTAGCAGCGGCGATGAAAGCAAAAAATGAAATAAAAATGCCTCGTTTGTGCGCGCTCCGAACGCCTCCGGCTGCTAAGGCGAGCGTTCAGCGGGCGATTAGCAAGCAGATGCACGGTTCGGGTTGAAGGTAGTACGGGCTCCACACTTCGAGTAAGTTTGCTAACAACACACACAAAAAAAAAAAAAACCCTGCACTTTTTAGGGTGGCCAAAGTCTGACAGCTGAGGGGGCCAACACAATGATTACGTACTTCCGGTTATGCCGCGAAGCGCTCTGGGAGTTGGCGTTTACTTCCACAAAAGCCATTCAGAGCCACACAGACACACACACACACACACACGCGCACACACACGC